CTGTCTGTCTGTCTGTCTGTCTGTCTGTCTGTCTGTCTGTCTGTCTGTCTGTCTGTCTGTCTGTCTGTCTGTCTGTCTGTCATTTACAGTACATGTGTGTGTGTATAGAAATGGTTTATACATTAAATATGTTTGTGGTAATTCCTATGTTTGGTTAATCCATTGTATTAAATACTTTACAAATGAAGGTACTTTATGATGTGATTATTGTTTTATTCTCTTTTTAATTTGCAATGCGGTAGACGCAAACCACACAATAAGATTTGTGCTGCTTCACAATAATACATAAAAATCAAGACTCAAAATAGTCATTTGTGTCTCTAAATTCCACTGAAGGCGGCGTAAAATATAGACTGTCTACTGGTATAAATGGTATAGCAAAATCTCTACCGACGGGCAAATTTTTACTGTCACACGAGATGTATATATATGAATGGGTATGATACACGATCATACCCATCCTGTCCAACTCTTGGCATTGATCAGCAGGTTTCTGGTCATTTAAAGTGGCCCGATGACAGTCGAAGTGTTGAGCTCCGAATTGAGTTAATCTGATTGGAGAGGAACCACTGATGAAATCAAGCCGAGACACGGAACCGAGACATTCGTGTCTCATTGACCAGACACCAATTTTTCCAATTGTTTCTTCCCTTTGCCTCCCACACTAATAAATTACAGCGCCTCTTCGTTCTTACCAAATGTGCCACTGCCTGTTTCCATCCATTACTGTCACCCTCGCTCTCCCAATAAGCCATTGAGTTTCCAGGCACGTCTTTTGCGACTGAAAAATTCCATCAGCCCAGAATAATGTAACATACAGCAAATGACACATTAGCATATAATTGAGGATGCATTTGAATGCTCTTTGGCCGCTGTCAGAGAAGCGTTTTATGGAATGTCACTTACATTGCAAACTATTATGTGCCTGTCCGCAATATCCCATAATTTTTAGGCCGTTCTACGAGTACAAAAGTGTTGTACAGGTACTAACATTTTTCCTCTGGTACATATTATTACTCGCTGACCTGTATTCTTTGCATATATGTGAAGTCCAAACTTCATTTTGTAGTTTGCAACTAAGACTCTGCATCTCGGTCCTTGTCCTTCCAGACTGCTGATGCGTTTCCTGTGCAGAATGCCAAGTCGACCCAGAACAACAGGAGCAGCCATCTCGCCACGGCCCCTCCTCCTTCCACAACCTCCATCTCCGTGGTAGGTTCCCATGGCAACCCCATCCTCTGCAGTTCCAGGTTTACGAGCCTTCTCCTCTGTGCAGTTTCTATCCACAACAACAGAATGACACAATTGTACCTTTTGTATCCTGCAATTTCAGTCCTGCTGTTATTCAGAGACCGCTCTGATAAATCAGTGTTATCACTCGTTTACACCTGGGCTTCAGAATAAATGTGCGGCGCCCCTCCCAAATGCAGCCACAGCAAATTTCAGGATTCGTTTTGTTAGGATTGTTTCTCTTTTTTTGTCAGAGTCAATAATTGCATCCACCGATTTTGGTTCCAAATTGTATGTGCTCAAAATGTTGAACTATAGAAATTACCACACTATACTTTTATGTATCTATCTGTCTGTGTCTCTTAAGAACAAATTTATACGCACATGTATTATGTAGACAACATGTTAAAGCAGTCATGCTGCTATTTTCTCCTTCTCGGAAGGCAAAGAGGTAGTCAAAACATCCGGTAGTGTGGGTTTTCCAGAAAATGTGAATACTCCCTGGACCGTGCCTCACGTAAATACTGCCGTGTATTGTGCATGTTATTTTGACAGACATCAATTTCAGGAGATTCAAGTTATGTGGATTTGATCGTAAGGTAATGATATTTTTATCCGACAAATATTAAGTGAAGTGATTGATGCCCATGAGTTATGTTGTTAGGGGGAAACTGATTTTGGGTTAAAATATGCTGGAGACATTATAAATGCTTTTTGCGTAATCAATATACTTGTTTCACAGAATGAAGTTCATTTCGTGGCTTAAATAAATTACAGTGGGGAAAAAAAGTATTTAGTCAGCCACCAATTGTGCAAGTTCTCCCACTTATCCACTGTACATGTTACTCAGAGGCTGACATGTTTGGCTTGTCAAAAATGTTACGTTCAGCTGTCGCAAATTCATTGAATTCATTTTTTTACCAGGAAAGGAGTGGTAAATGTGCATTTTAAGTTGTTTTTATAGTCTCTTATAACAAAAAAAATGTATTTCAAATGCAGATCTAAATAATATAATTACACTGTATATACATACATATATATATATACAGTGATGCTTGAAAGTTTGTGAACCCTTTAGAATTTTCTGTATTTCTGCAAATATACTCAAAACATCATCAGATTTTTACACAAGTCCTGAAAGTATACAAAGAGAATCCAGTCAAACAAAGGAGACAAAAATATATACTTTGACATTTATTTATCATGAAAAATGATCCAGTGTTACCTATCTGTGAGTGGCAAAAATATGTGAATATTTGCTTTCAGTATCTGGTCTGACCCGCTTTTGCAGCAATAACTGCAGCTAAACATTTCTTGTAACTGCTGACTTGGACTTGGCCATTCCAAAACATCAACTTAGTTCTTCTTTAACCATTCTTTGGTAGAGCGACTTGTGTGCTTGGGGTCGTTGTCTTGCTGCGTGACCCACTTTCTCTTGAGATTCAGTTCTCGGACGATGTCCAGACATTTTCCTTTAAAATTTGCTGGTATAATACTGAATTCGTTGTTCCATCAATGATGGCAAGCCGTCCTGGCCCAGATGCTGCAAAACAGGCCCAAACCATGATACTACCACCACCATGTTTCACAGATGGGATAAGGTTCTTATGATGAAATGCAGTGTTTTTCTTTCTCCAAACATAATGCTTCTAATTTAAACCAAAAAGTTATATTTTGGTCTCATCCATCCACAAAACATTTCTCCAATAGCCATCTTGCTTGTGCACATGATCTTTAGCAAACTGCAGACTGACAGCAATGTTATTTTTGGAGAGCAGTGGCTTTCTCCTTGCAACTCTGACATGGACACCATGGTTGCTCAGTGCTCTCCTGATGATGGAATCATGAAAATTAACATTAGCCAATGTGAGAGAGGCCTTTAAAGCCTTGTTCAGACTGTCTGCCCAAATCCGATTGAAATCCGATCATATTTAGATAGTCTGAACGGCAACGAACTACATGAAATCTGATTTTTGCAAATCCGTTTCGAGCTACATTTGTATGTAGTTTCAAATCGCATTCCTGGAAATCCGTTTCAGTCTGACCGCTCAGATCAGATTTAGCCTAGCTTTTTCACATTTTCACGCCACGTAAAAACGTCAGACGTTTTTTGTAGAAAACATAATGAACGTCTTTGCTGAAACAAGCTGGTGTTGTCAAGCAAAAAAAGACAATATACTGTTAGTATACGCACCTCTTTGAGTTTTGAAACCAGCTGAGACGGCAGCATGGAATAAAGACGCTCATTCCAACTTCCTGCGTTTCTGCCGCTGCCTCATAAGACAAAATCCATAATAATAATAATCCAGCGCGACGGCAAAATTTGCCATGTCGTAAGACAACATCTGTATTGCTAACTGAATTGCTGTTATTGTTGTTTTTAGCGTTGGCATAATAACGCAACGGCATTGCCATAGAAACCATCGCACATTCCGTAAAACGAAAGGGCGCTTATGGACACATCCAAATCGGATATGAACAGTTGCAATGCACTGTGGACAGTCAGTTATTCAAATCAGATTCCATCCGGATATGCACAAAATCGGATTTGGGCTGACAGTCTGAACGAGGCTTTAGTTGCTGAGAAGTTTCCCTGGGTTCCTTTGCAACCTCGCAGACTATTACACGTCTTGCTTTTTGAGGTGATCTTTGTTGGTGGACCACTCCTGTGAAGGGTAACAATGGTCTTGAATTTCCTCCATTGGTACACAATCTGTCTAAGATGGTATTGTAACATTTTCCAGCCGGATGAGCATCAACAGCTCTTTTTCTGAGGTCCTCAGAGAACTCCATTGTTCATGCCATGATTCACTTCCACATGCATGATCAAAATTGGATAGATACCTGTTTTTTTAAATAAAACGGCACACACTGACACCTGCTAATCATCCCATTAATTGAAAACACCTCTCAACAGATGGACTCTAATTTCACCTTCAAATTAACTGCTAATCCTAGAGATTCACATACGTTTGCCACTCACAGCTCATTTTCCTGAATAAATAAATGTCAAAAGTATATATTTTTGTTTGATTGGGTTCTCTTTGTCAGCCTTAAGTTCAGGACTTTCAGGACATGGAAATTTGATGATCTTTCGCAAGTTATGTTTATGCAGAAATATAGAAAATTCTAAAAGGTTCACAGACTTTCAAGCACCACTGTATTTATAAATATGAATTATCACACAACATACTTTAATCTGTCTCTCTGTTTGCCTATCTAAATGTAATAGATAGATAGATAGATAGATAGAACTCACTCTACCCTACAATTGGCAGATGATCTCGTAAACATCTTGCGGATGTGCCCCCATGCCCTCTTTCACTTAATAACACTCAGTATATCATAAGAACAGAAAGTACTGCTGCAAGAAAATCTATCAAAGCTCCTGATTAATTGTATTCTAGCGCCTCCGATGTGGCTGAATGTTTGACAGGAGCACAGGGTTGAGGTTAGAGAGTCCCTCGTCAAGGCGAGCCTGCCAGAGCAGCATCTGCCGGCCCATGTAATGGATTTATGGAGCTCTCCGACAGATTTATATTCAGGAGAGGATGAGAGGGAGAGACAGCCAAGGACCCTCGGCTGCCCACTTTCGTGCTTGCCGAGAAGGAACGTGACACGTATAATACAGGGAAAGATGCAGCAGTTCGGACGAGATTTACACGGGGCTAGTGCAGCAGTTACCTGTATTTGATCTTGAACTTGCACATTTCTAGTTTTTTAAAGGAATTAACACTTTTATTCAGCAGGGTGCATTCATTTAATCAAAAGTGACAGTAAAGATGTTACAAATTATTTCTATTTGAAATAAATGCTGTTCTTTTGAAGTTTCAACAAAAATATTAAGCAGTATATAGGAAATGTTTCTTGAGCAGCAAATCAGCATATTAGAATGATTTTTAAAGGATCACGTGACACTAAAAACTGCTGAAAATGCAGCTTTGCATCACAGGAATAAATCATATTTTATAATAGATTATTATAGATAACAGTTATTTTAAATTGTAATAATATTTCACAATATTTCAGGTTTTACTATATTTTGATAAAATAAATGCACATTTTAATCAAAAATTTGCTTAATTTATAATGAATTATTACAATAATATTTATTCTGTGTTATGCTAATAATATAGATCACCAATCAACTATTTAATAAGAATAAAATCTGTTTTGGAGTGAGACAGATGAAAATGTTGGCAAAGCAACTACTGGCATGTCAGCAAAAAATAAATAAAAATCCTGATCGTTGAGCCCTGAAAATGCTTCCGAACGCCTTTGGAAAAAAACAACAGCGCTCACCCTAATGGCTCATAGCAGCATTCCATTAAACATATTTATCATATTTATTCTCTGGAGTGGCTCTCTTACAAAGACAGTTTGTTTTTCCCCTCAAAATGTACACAGTCATTTAAATGCATCCAATATCTTTCAATCTTCCCTCCTCTCTCGCAGCCCCCAGAGCCGGTTGATGCGATTACCATCAGGGCTGCTCCTTTAAACAGACCCAGCATTCTGAAGAGCATCCAGCCGCCCACATCCATGTTTGAGGATGCAGGACTGGTCCTGAGGCAGGTGAGGCAGAGCAAGAAGGTTCTGGAAGAAAACCTGGATGCCATTTTGAGAGCCACAGATGGAGAGGTGCTTCACACGCAGTTAGAGGCACTGTCGAAAAACAGGTATGATATGTCCTTGTACATAAAAGTAGCAAAGTATTGTACAGTATGGACACTACCTTGATGGTGTTGGTCATTGTTTTTTGTTTGAATGCCATCGTATAAGAATACAGTGATCACCGAAACATAGTACTGCCACAGTGCTTTTTCTGTAAAAGGTAGTCTTTTTTGTCTTTTATTTTCGATTTCTCATGAGTACGAGTGTTGACATGGGGGAAAAATCCAGCACAAGAAATTGCTAGTCGTAAAGTGTAGCTCTGTAGCAAATTTCCCTGTGCCTCTGAGAGTGCTGCTGGTTAACTTCTGAATGTTTTCATGCTTCTGAAAGTTTGGCCATGCTGAGGCGGTGAACCGGTATGCGATTTTGATTGACAGCTGGCCTCAGAGCACACTCCAGGCAGGAAAGGGCTAAGCCAAACGGAACCATCACCATGATTGGCATCTGTCAGAGGAGGCCTCTACCCAGATGCTGCCAAAGCGACGCTCCATCTCAATATATTCCCCCCGTAACATCACCTCTGAGAGCAGGGCACACTATCACCTGAGGTTAACAGCTCTGCCATCACATTAAACCCCACACAGAATATTATATTAAAGTTTCTAACAAAAAGGCAAGCACGTTTGTCAGCCACGTGGGGTTTTAATCAAATTCGAATGCTCGCTATTCTACAAAGATTATCACAGTTTTAGCTTTTATGAACTGTATTAATCTTTGGGCAAGTGGTTCGCAATTCAAATACATCTTTCCATCACCAATTTTTCTTTGAGAGGAGTGCGTGACTTGTTGTCAATCAGTCCTAGTCATAGTACAATTAATGGAATCGTTCAACTAAACATTTATTTTTTTGAAGAATATTTATGCAAATCTTTCACAGAACAACCATTTAAAAAATGTGTATGTACTTATTCCAATCCTATAGTTTTTTTTCTATCTATCCATCTATCCATCTATCTATCTATCTCTCTCTCTCTCTCTCTCTCTCTCTCTGTCTGTCTGTCTATATAAACAAATTACATTTTTAGTTCTGTAGCACTGTGATGGGTGATTAGTAATTAAATATGCAAAAAGAAACAAAAAAACACTATGAAAACATGTCATTTTAATTAACATATTTTCATTAAGAATATATAAAACTATAAAGCAATTTTTAAATAGGCACCAAATACAAATTTGTTTGCATATGTATGCATCACATTTTTTTGTGGTCAACATGAGGTTGAGAGTAAATGATGACAGACTTTTTTGTTATGGAAAAAGCTGTGTGAAGACTTCAAAAAAGTCGTCTTTTGTGTTTCACAGATAAAAAAATAACCACATTTTGGAATGAGTTTAGGTATGACACTTTCATATTCAGGTCAGTGAAGTCAGACCTGCACCTCGGTCACAGCATGGTGTCGTCGGTACAGACTCTCCACCAGGAGATTATGTCACTGTGAATTATTATGAGTTCGCTTTTGTTTGCAGCTTTTAAAACGCATAACGCTCAGAGCCAGGCGAAGCGGTTAGAGGGATGTTTTTGCTGGGGTAGAGTCTCTCAGAGAGGAGTAATGCTTTATAGCAGGAGGTCAGACTCAATCTTACCATTCTGCCTGCTCTCAATGTGACATTACTCCAGATCCCCCAGGCACAGAGCAGCTAATGGCTTGTGATACACCACGAGCCATAGTCGCTGCCCACATCATGCACATTTCCAGAGATACAGAGAGAGATCGAGACATGGCAGCGGCGGAGTGCTAAAGCAGCAGTTTAAAAACTGAAATGGAGAAGGCCGCCCCAGGACTGCTGTCTATTATATGATGCGGAGGCTGTGAGAGCAGAAAGAACAGCAGTCTTCTCGCTTTTACCTCAGGCTCAGAGCAAAGTCAGTGCTGGAAAGATCACAGGGAACCGTTTGATACCCAAATATTTTACAGTATTGTAATTAGTGGTCGACTGATACACGCTGGGCTACAAAAGTCTGAGGCCACTAGTGAAAGTGCTTCTGTTTTACCTTCTTTCTAATTTAGTACAAATTTGATCATTACAAATTAAATTGTCAGCGTAACAAATTTAGTAGAATGTTGAATTTGTGACTCCTGTTGCTTTAACAACAGCAACATTCAAGCTGACATGAACAAAAACTGATTTCCAAATTGAAAATTAGTTTTTGAAACACAGGGTTTCTTTTTAAATAGATCATATTTATTATTATTATTTATTTATTGTTGTTATTATTTTTATTTTATGATGATGATTATTGATGATGGCCATAAAAATATAATAATAATAATAATATGATTATTATTATTTTATTATGGTGATTATTATTGCTGTTATGGTCATCATCCTAAATAACAACAATTTCAGCAATTTTTGGATATCTAATTTGCTAATAATAATAATAACAAATTTGATTAGTTAAAAAAAATCTTAAATATAATAATAATAATTTATTATTGTTTAATTTTTGCAATAGTTCAATGTCTAATTTACTAATAATAACAAATTTGTTTAGTAAAAAACTGAAATAAAATAATAAAAATAACAACAATAATATATTTCAGCATTTTTAGTTTCATGTGCTAATTATAACAACAACATTGGTTGTTGTTGTTGCTGATAATATATACTAATACTACTACTAATAATAATTAGTGCTGTCAAAAGATTAATCATGATTAATCGCATCCAAAATAAAAGTTTTTGTTTACATAATACTGTGTGTACTGTGTATATTTATTATGTAAATATAAAGACACACACAAACAACATATATTTTGAAAATATTTACATGCATACATTTATATTCATATAAATGATATCATATATAAATATATTTAATATATAAACAACATATTTTTCTTAAATATATACATGCATTTGTGTATATTTATATATACACGATTATATGCGATTAATCGTTTGACAGCACTTATAAGAATAAATTATTTTTAGCATGTTTGTGTCTCATTTGCTAATAATAATGATGGGAATGTTTTTTGTTGTTGATGATGATGATGATGATTATAATTATATAAGGGGAGAGGGGAAAGCTAGCGCTTCTGTTAATTTGGAGGCATAGTTTTTTAGCTGAAATATTTTAAATATATTGATATCATTTGATATGGCTGATAAATGACCAAATATCATCTTACATATCAACAGTATCATATCTAAATCTAATCAGTATTTTAATATCATTTTAAATATTAAATACATTATTTACATGAAAGGAGTTTGTCCTGTTTGTTTTGTTGACACTGTGCTTTTGTTTTAAGCTGAAAGCTTCACCGCAGCCCAACACCGGTGGGGTCTGCTTTTTCGTCCCCCTCCGACACCTCTCAAACCCCTCTCAGTATCTAAACTCCTCAACCAAAATGTCAGCCTCAATGTTAATTGTCTCCAAAATGGCAGGCGCAATCAGCCTCGCGTGTGCATGAAAACACAAGCGCGCTGATTGATGCGGCTGCCTCTCCCTGCTCTAATAGCTTTGATCTTTTCCTCAGCTGAAAGGTCGCAGGGATTGAGGTGCCAGATGCTGTTCTGCTCTCCCCCGTTCACCGGTTTAGCCCGCGCTGCAGCGAGAGAGCGCTTCACGTCGTGCTTTATGCGCAGGGCTTGATAGATTCATTCATTTGAGGAAGTGACACTGCAAAACGAGTCTGAAGTTCAATTTTATTCCCGCCATCCATCGCGGTGAAATATTAATGAGGGCATTTGCAAACGTGAAACTTTCAGATCTTTTTTTATTCTCCTTCATTATGCGCCGTGACCCCCCTCCGAAAAAGTTACACCTCACACTTGGATAAAGGCAATATTTTCTCAGTTTGAGTTTCAATGACTTTGTAATTGTAATTATCCCATGTACTGAAATCTCATGAAGGCTGTTGCATAATTCAACAGATGGCGGAGACTTTGGCTTTCGGAGTGAGTAGTGAAATTTATCACTTCTCTCGCTGCTTCGAACTGACTTTCTTGATGTTTCCTGCCGTCTCTGCTCATAATAGTTATGGCTTCTTTCTGTCAGTAGCTGAGGCTTGGAGTTCGACCTGTATTATGTTCACGTTTCCCGTCGACTTACATAATAACTTTCAAGTGAAAAGACAGTCTTATTATCGAGTTATGTAATTGGTAGTTGTGTCAACTGCTCCTCAAAGAGCGCTTGATGATTCCGGTAATTACCCTGAGAATTACATCCGTTATTAACCTAAGAGATTATGTGCTTTTATCGTTCATCAGGGACCAAGTGTTTGGGTTTGATGTCTGCTGAAGTCACTGATTTCTAGACGGTTATACTCTTGATATTGTGTCGAGTATTTCGCTTTGAAATCGTTTCGCTTCTGTTTTTATTCGCTTTTGATCTTACTGTACTTTAGCAATATAGTACCAGTCGTTTTATGTGTTTGTGTTGCAAGTGCGTCATCTGTGCTAAGAATGTGCAAATTTACTGCACATGCAAACATTTCTGTAAAACCTTTCAATGTTTTTAAAAGAAGTCTCTTATGCTCATCAAGGCTGCTTTTATTTGATTAAAAAACTTAAGTGCTGTAATATTGTGATGTTATTACAATTTACGTTTTGCTGCTCAAGAAACATTTCTTATTATTATAAATGTCGAAAACGGTTGTAGAAAGGTCAAAAGGTCACATCATTTATTTGAAATAGAAAACTTTTTTTGAATAAATTTTAATTAAATTAATGTGTCTTTGCTGAATAAAAATATTCATTTCTTTAAAAAAAAAAAAAAAGAAGTCCACCCAAAAATTCTGAAAATCAAAATTCTGTCATCATTTACTCTCACACTCATGTTCACCAGAAAAAAAAAAAGCCTACATATGCAAACAAATTTGTATTTGGTGCCTTAAAATGATATCATATTTAATTACTAATCACCTATCACATTATGTTACAAAACTAAAAATGTACTTTGTTTAGATAGATAGATAGACAGACAGACAGATAGACAGACGATAGATGGACGGATGGACGGACGGACGGACGATAGATAGATAGATAGATACTGTGAAGATAGATAGATAGATACTGTAGATAGAGATAGATAGATAGATAGATACTGTAGATAGAGATAGATAGATAGATCGATAGATAGATACTATAGATATAGATAGATAGATAGATAGATACTATAGAGATAGATAGATAGATAGATAGATAGATAGATACTATAGATATAGATAGATAGATACTGTAGAGATAGATAGATAGATAACATTTTAATGTTTTTTTGTAATTTTTATAAATAATTCTTTATAGATTTTTTTATTATGTATTTAGATATTTGAATTCCAGTTGTAAATATTTTATCTATAATTTTTGGTAGCATAAATTTGTAGCAAACCAGCTTTTAAATGAAACTATTTCAACTATATACGGTACACTCATAACTCTTATTCTGATATTTGCCCATCAGCAGTGATTAAGGCTTCTTTTATCTCTTTCTGGAGCCTCCAAGAGTTTTTACATGCGCTCATTTCGTTCTCTCCAGATCTCTCATGAATTTCTCAGTTTTTGCGGAGGGAATGTGAATAAAGCGAGGTGCTAAATAGTCTTTACGGCTCATTTTCCACTTTTTCCCCTCCCGAGAAGCCCAAATTTACTGGATAATGAGTTTAAAGGGGCTCAGTTGAAGAACGGTGAAGAAAATGGCGGTAGTCAAAAGAGGTTAATTGAAGGTCATTCTCGCCGCTCGAATCAATTGTGCTCCATTTGGAATCACAAGTGTCTTCAAGCATCATCTGATTAGGCGAATTCATCACACGGCAGACGCTCGGCAGACACACGGGAGGTGTCGCGCTGTGACAGGGCTTTTATGGGCAGCCAGGGTCTTCATCTGAGAGTCTGTTTGTGTCGAGAGCGGCTTGTGAGATTTTGCGGGCAGCTGTGTGTGTCCGTGGATCAGTGAGTCCTTGTGTCTTCTGTTTTTCTGTGGCTAACTCTTTGTGTGTGTGTTTGTGGACAGGGTCCATTGGATGTTGGGTAAGGATCAGTAGAGCTTCATTCTCTTTGTGTTTTTTTTTTCCATGGCCAGCTGTTGTAGGTCTCAGCCCAGGCTCAGAATCTGCACATCTGAACCTCTGGCACTTTCTCTCATCAGCATCTCTACCAGGCTCTGGCCTCTGGCTCCATTGGGAGGCCTCCCTTTATGCTGCATCGTGTGTAATATCTATCAACACACAATCCTAATTGCACTTATACATCGGATCGAAAAGAGTAGGTTTTGATGTTGTGGAAAAAGCAATGACAGTTTCAATTTTCATTGATCAATGGTAGGGATGGATCATCCATTAACCGACTAGTCAATTAGAGAATATGACTACATTAGCAGTTGTTAATAATAATAATGATGATAATAATAATATTTTTTTCTAATATTTAATTATCATTTTTTCAATTTCTTTTAATTATTTTACAAATATTTTTAATATAGCCATATATGTTTTAATAAAAATAAGTTAACAACAACAATTATTCTTACGTTTTTTCAATATTATTATTTTATGTATGGTTTTATTATTTAATTTGTTTTTAATTTTTTATTAATTGTGTGTGTGTGTGTGTGTGTGTGTATGCATGTAATATCCTTTTCTAGTTTTTAATTATTTCAAAAATATTTTCTTATTTTATATCCATTTAATAAAAATATGGTAATAATAATAACAACAGTAATAATTATGATGTTTTTCTAATTGTTATGCATTTAATTATTATGTGTTTATTTGTATTTAGTAATAGTTTGTTATTAATGGTTATTAATTATTTTTTAATGGTTTGATTATTAGCTTCAGTGCATTAATGCTGACATTCTGACAGTGTTCTATACTTCAGCAGCTCAGCAAAATCCTATCTGAAAAGTTACAATTCTTCCCATTTAAATCAGTGTTGTTGTTGCCAGAGACATTTAGATGAATGTCGTTGGCATCACGTCACGCTGTTTTTTGAGCATCCCACCATGAGTGTTGCATTTTAGGGAAATATGTTGTGGTGCACATCCCTAGTTTTCCCTCATTCCCTCATCTTTTGGCTTCATGAGCGTCACTTACAGAAACCCTTGCGTTGTTTCCTTTAGGTTCTAATGACATCCCTTCACTTGGATTTGCAGCGTGTTTTTTTTCTTTTGGCGTAGCATGAACTCTGGTGTGCCCTTAAACACAAACCCACATAAGCACACACTTCCTTTTTCAGCTCTTATAAACCCTCTGAGCAGAAATTCAGAGATGAAAAGAGGAAAAGGGAAGCAAGCATTAGATACATGGGCTGTTGGCGGTTCAAAGCAGCAGTTGGACGGCATGCTGGGATTGTCACTCGTCTCCTCATCTCTATGATTTATACAGTGCAATAAGTGATGCAGAGATGGGCTAACAGGCCAATAGACAGCAGGGCATTAGCATAATGTGTGCAGCGGAGAAACGCTGGAAGACTGTTGCGTCTTTAAACGCAGTATGCCACATTTAGATTAGCTCTGCCTGCAGATGTCTTCCCTCGTTGGGATTGGGGATCTCAGGCATTCAGGATATGAAAATTAAAAAAACACTATGCTCACAGAAGTCCAGCTAACTGTGTTTTTTTTTGTCCCCGTTTATGACAAAATATGCACTGCAGCGCAAATCTGGTTTCCAATCCGTTCAGTTAATTTAGAAGATTTATCTAACTGTAATCTTACAGTTGAAGATTGGATGCATACATTTTGTTCATGTTTTGAGATAAATGTATCTCTGAAAGAATTTAAGTTAATCCAGGAGGATTTTTTTGCAGATGTCAATAGCCTATAGTTTTTACTTTTAATTAACAAGCTACTGGAACAAATATGACAAATATTTTTTTATTTGTTTTGCAGTAATTAAAATCATATTGTTTGGATATAAAAGATGTTTAGTACTTTTGAAACTTACCTTCAAAAAGAGTTCAATGTTTAAATTGGAAAATGTACGGTAAGGTCTAATAGATCCGGTATTGATCTCTTAAAACTGATACTCATCATAAAAAAATGCGTAAAGTAAAATAGCGCATTGCCTTTAATAATAATGCATATTGTACAGCTCTAATATTGACATTAGCGTTCAAAAGTTCAGGTAGATTTTTTAATGTTTTTGAAAGAAGTCTCTTCTTTTACCAATGCTGCATTTATTTGATTAAAAAATACAGTAAAAACAGTAATAGTGTGAAATGTTAGTAAATGTTTTCTATTCATATATTATTCTTTGTTATACTGTTTTATGTTCATTTCTATTTTAATATATTTTAAAATGTAATTGATTTCTGTGAATTTTCAGCATCATTACTCCAGTCAGACAGTGTCCCATTATTCTTCAGAAATCATTCTAATATGCTGATTTGTGCTCAAGAAACATTCATTATTATTATCAATGTTAAAAACATTGAAAGCCATGTTATGTGTATTTTTTCAGGATTTTTTAAATAATAAAAAGTTAAAAAGAGCAGCATTTATTTGAAATACAAATGTTTTGTAACATTATAAATAGTTTAACTGTCACTTCTGATCATATTAATGCATCCTTGTTAAATAAAAGTATTAATTTCTTTAAAAATAATAATATAAGTCTCCATTTCATGCACTGCACACATTCACTCCATTTAAATTCTCTTAATTTAGCTTGGCTTTATTTAGCAATTCATGATTAAAGATTTGTGTTTGTGCATTCCCTTCCAAATACTAAATGAAATTAACAGCTCGGGGTAAATTAATCTCTAAAAGTAGCTGAAAATTGACCCTGAAGCTTTACCATATAAAGCACTAGAATGACTAACCGTGCCTGGAGCAACACAACAAGGTTTACCATCAGGAAAAGTAGCTCTGTTGCTCGAGTTTATAGATGAATCGTTTTTTTTCTGTCATGTCTTTGAAGACGTTGACGGCCTGTCATGTGTCTTGTCCTGTAGAGATGTCGGTGAAGAGCTGAGGATAAAGAAGACAGTTGATGCCTGGATCAATACACTCAGCAAGGAGATTCAGGTGAGTTGAACTGAAAGATTTAGTCTCTTTTTCTGCCTTCAAATGCAATCTGGTGTTTCTGCACAATCTGTCACTGTTCTTTGTTCTCCGAAATACTGTTTTAAAAGAGAAAATATTTGAATAATCGTTAGTGCTTTTTGCCTTTGATAATGCTTGGCATTGAGCAGAGGTCTGCGATTGCTTTTCCAAGTAATCACGTTTATGATTACTTACCTGGCAGACAAAAAAACGGACAAAAACTCACCACATAGCACATCAAAAATGTGCTTTTTTTTTTGTTTATATTACAGTGCACAATCCATTGAGCACACATTCAAGTGTTTGTGACTGCAAGGTCCTCTGTCTCTTTCTCCTTCTCATTATCTTGGCAGGATGAGCTGGCGAGGGAGAGCTCTGAGAGGATTGTGGAGAGGAGCGATGCTGCAGTCTCTAAAGTGGTGCAGCAGGGCCAGGGGAGCAGGAGCGGACGTGTGGCTGGTCCGAGAGGGGGAGGAAGAGGAAGAGGGGGAGGTGAAACCTCTGCGGCAGACAAGAAAACCTCTCTGAGAGGCTCGGTTAGAGCACAAGCAGAAAACACACTGGCACACAGCAAACAACCCGCTCTGTCTGTCAGAACCAGACCTGAAGGGAAGCGAGAGTCGGTGAGCTGGATTCTATCAGTGTTATCTAATGCAGTGCCAAATGTGTTCACAGTAACCAGACTCCTCTGATGATCTGTTGCAATAACTAATGAGCTGCCTACTTAGAAATCATATTGCTGACAATTCCAGATAGGAGGCTGTGAAATAGGATTCCTCATTTCGGTCAAATTCGAAGAGGGCCGTTCACACAGAACGTGGGTAGACGCCACACAGTAGTATCCAGCTACGGCGCTGATAGAAAAGATGGCAGGGTCTTGAGATATATTTTTTTTTAAAGATGAATGTTTTAACTCAACAACGCATCTTTAAAAATATTGCTGATGAGGGTTTTAGGGTGTCTCTGGAAAGTTAGAAAGAAAAAAATTATACAAAATATATTTTTAGGAATAATATTAATTGGAAAACATTTGATTGAAACTCTTTTTCTTTTGGTTTATACATATTTCTCTAATAATGGATAGAAAAAGATACACTTATTAGAAATATATAGTGTGTGTGTGTGTATACACACAGACAGACAGACAGACAGACAGATAGATAGATAGATAGATAGATAGATAGATAGTTACTCAAATGTTTTCTTTTTTAAATTTATTTTACTGTGTATAGTACATTCTACTGTATATTTAATTTTAGATGTATTATTTACAATTAATCATTGTGATTAAGTAGAATTAGTGATTTCTTTAATATTAAGTGAATAGCTTAATAATGTAAGTAATTTATGTGGTAGATAGATAGATAGATAGATAGATAGATAGATAGATAGATAGATAGATAGATAGATTATTAACATTATAACCAGCCATTCTAACAGTCACTTCTATCAGCCAAACGAAAACTATCAGAAATAAACCAGATTGTCAAAATCACTTCTTAGATTTAAACATGTTTATTATTAAATCTAATTCTGAATTATTGAATGCCTTTCAGTTTTACAGCCCTCAGCCAGTATTTTCTGATACCATTAAAAAAATTATAAAATAAATAAAATCGGAATAGAAATATAAGATTCTCTGAAATCAGCATGTTTTGGGGTTCTTGGCATTAAAAAGTTTGAAAGCTTACTGTACGAGGATTCATTTGGGTTTGGATGCTGCCTATGTAGGCAGTAGATTATAATTATATGACACTAGAGCTTTATAATTGGCTATTTGGCTGTGGTCCAAATCATCTGTCTGTTCTATTGAAACTGATAATGAACTGTAGGATCTGCTAACCTGTTTGTTTGCAGTGTTTATTCCTGTATGTGTTGTTTACTTTTCACCATGACCTGACAAGCTCACAACACTCCCAAAATGGCCCATCTGGATGTAAACACTGTAGCTCAATATTTCTCTGTGTCTCAGTGGCATTTTCTCTAAATGAGCCGCTTTGAGCACCCATATGTTGCCCCAACACTAATTTGCTAAAAATAAAGAGCGAGAAGACAAGAGGCAGGCCTGTCTTATCTGTGTTTGGCACAAGCCTGGTCCTGTTAATGGCCGTCCACGTTGCCCGGTGTCTGTGTGGATGATTCTTAACCTAGCAACACATCCAGTGGCTATCTGAAGGTTACTATGTGTGGAGTTCAGGCATTTAATTGCTGCTATCGGTAAAGGTTCAGTCACTGCAGACAACAGAGCACACAGTTACAAAAGGTTGAGCGTTATTTTGCTGGAGATGCTCTGGGGTTGCCATGAGTTTTAGATGAAACTAAATGAAATCCAAATGGCAATGTCACACTTTACATAAGCAGTGTTATCATTTTCTACTTTTTAAACACATCCTGATCAGTCTTTCAGCGTGTAGTCGTTATATATCTATATATTTAGTATATTGTGTAATGTTTGCTGTAGATATGAGTGTTTTTTTATACATATACGTATCAGTGTATAGAAGTATAATGTACCATGTTTACCATAGAAATTAGTGTATAATATACTATAGTATTAGTATATTATATTCTCCATATATAAATATATAAGATCATTATGATTATAGCGTATCATAGTTTACCAAAGAAATACTTTTATTCTGCAAGGACACAGCATGTTGATCAAAAATGGCAGTAAAGACATTTCTAATGTTACAAAATATTTCTATTTCAAATAAATGCTGTTCCTTTGAACTTCCTATTCAAATAAAATTTAATGAATAAATCAAATAAAATAATCCTGAGTCTTGGTTTCAAAAAATATTAGTAAAACCTGCTGAAAATTCAGCTTTGCATTACAGGAATAATTACAATTTTAAAATATAGTCAAATAGAAAACAGTTATTTTAAATTGTAATAAAATGTTTTTACTGTAATTTTATTCAAATTAATGCAGCTTTGTTGAACGTAAGTGGCTTACCATAGTTCACCATGTTTACTGTAGATATGAGTGTACTGTATCATTGTATAAAGTGCCATGTTTACCATGCAAATAAGAGTTTCACAGTATGAAATGCAATGTTTGCTATTATAAAACTTGTTACACAGTTTGTTGATCTAGTGAATATTATTCTTTCAGGCTCAGCCGGTTGTGCTAAAATCTCAGGATGATCAGGAGTATCTGGCGAGGCTGTATGGAAAACCCCTTTATGATGGTCATCGACGAACGCTTAAAAAAAGCCCTTACCTTCGATTCAACTCCCCCACGCTGAAATCCAAACCGCACCGACCAAAAGTAGTAGAGGCTGTCAAAGGTAAGGTGAAGGTCTTCAAGTAGAAATGGCCATTCTCCAATGGTCTTTTACGTTTTGTTACCAAATATATGGCTTTATTTTTTAATAGGGACATTTGGTTGGCTGTACTGCCTAGTAACGTCCAAAGTAGTCTTGAAAAAGAATCGTGATCACCCCTAATTTAGCCTTTTCTGTCCAAGTTCTTGTATGTTACTTGTCCCTCCCTTTTCGTTCTTTCATATAGGGGTGAAGATGAAGTCATCTAAAACCCAAACTAGCCAGTTTGGGGATGTTGTTCCTGCGCTGCAGTCTTCAGTCTCTGAGCCCCATTTCCTGTTCAGCCCCAGTGATCCTGCCCAACAGCAGCAGCCTGGCTCTCCAGTGCGAGGTTACCTCATTCCCATGGCCATACCTTTAGGTAAGCCACCATTAGCATGCGTAGAAATCATTCACTGCTAGGCCTTTGTGGTTGGGGGGGTCTAATTAGATTTTTTTCTGATAAAAATTATAATTGTGATTTAAAATGCAGGTTTGCTGTGTTTGTAAAACCACACAATTTGGCCAGAATGTTGTGATTATATGTCAGTATGGCTATGCACTACTACTACTACCAATAATATCTATTATTATTGTTGTTGTTGTTATTATTATGTAAAATATAAACATATTTAAGAAAAAATATAAGAAAAAAAAAAATAATATTTTATTTTACATTACAACTGTAAAATTTCAATACTAATATTTATGGTTGTCTTAATTTCTTCATTTCAAACGTTAAATCTTTGAAAATGTATTTTGACAAAAAACCACAGGAAGCCCTTAAAGCCTCTTTTTTGGTTTGGGAACAAGTTTGGGAACATGGTGCATGTTGTGTTTGACGTTAAAGTGACCCAAACTCAGAGCAGATGCAGGGATTCACGCTGAAGCACGCAGCTCATATTATTTATTTCATTAAATCACAGCCTTTGTCATTTGATTATCGCACTAAGCCGTATTGCAATTTTGGTTTTATTTCAAATAATCGTGCAACTCTGCTGACCTTATTTTTGCGTGGTCCATTAAGACAACATTTTTGATAATAATGGGAGTTTTGTTGTGTTTGTAACCTTGTGAGTGAAATTATTTGAGACAGAATTTGCATCAGGATTTTTTAATGATGCCTAAACACTATATAGCTTCGATTTGAGATGCATTCCTGTCTTTTGATTGCAACAAATACACACAGAACCAATTACACAGTGTTTGCTGTTCGGTGTCCCTTAAACCTCTGACCATTCTTAAAGAAAGACGTCCGATGCGGCATGAATGGTTGCGACAGCCTCCACATGCTGCAGTCATAAAGCGTCTCTCCTCCGGCTGGCTCCGAGCACACGGGAGCATTAAAGAATGGACTTAATTGGACAGACATTTCAGCGGTGTGAGTTTAGCTCTTAATTATGGCTGCCTCTCCACTCGTTAAAAAGCCTTCCTATGCCGCTCTCGTTTAATCACTTCACTGTCAGGGACATTAATGCCTTTCTATTACGCTCTCATTTTCCCGCTTCCAATCACTGCGAGCTTCATCTCAGGTCCGACCTTGTGAGGTTGAAGGTAATTCTGTTTATTAGCCCGACCAGCCATATGTATGAAAACACTGTCATGCTTTACGAGGGCACTTTTTAGGGCAGTAATTGCAAATAGCCAATTGAAAACATTTTGAAAGCGTTCATATTATGAGTTGATTAGTTTCTTTTATCCCGCCAACCCCCCCTCCTTTTGAGGATTACGACCTCCTGGCGCCGAAACAATCCATTAGTTTGGTAACAGCTGAAGTGCTGTTGTTATTTTCTGCAATGGACTAAAGAGGTAATTAAAGGTTTTTGCACAAAAAATGGCAATGGCGAAGCACCTTTGCTCCGCTAAAGCTGTTTACAGTATTTAAATGTTTCCAAAATTGTGGCTCAGGGTATTGAGAATGAAACGAACTGGCGGAAAATGGCCTAGTAATGTTTGAAATGGCAGGTGGGCGGTTGCCTGTATGCTGAACTGACCTCTGATCTGAGCTACGCTAGAGTGAACAAAGACTTGCTAATTACATCTGCAATGCAGTGGCCCTGATTGCCGTCGTAGACACTGAACTCCCTTCATGGTTATATTAAATGTCCTTTCACTGCTAGATGCATTATTGGAATTTCTGTGCTTAGAATAAATAGAAGATATATATTTATCTTTATAGTTATCGTTCTTGGTGTGAATGAGCCTTAAAACTTACTTAGTCTAGTGTATCCGTCATAGCATCCTGCTAGCTGGACCAGTGTCAAACTAATTAGCATAAACCAGCCTGGAAATTCATACTGGTCAGAGCTCAACAATAAGGCTTTATTTCTTAGATTTTTTTTTTTATTAAACTAGTTTCAAAAAAAGGGTAGTATTTATAATTAAGCATAGTTTTCTTCCAAGTATTTCTTGCTTTCTTGTAGCATTACCTCAACATATTTACATAAGCTGAATTCAACAGAGTTACCAAAAAAATAAAATAATAATAATAACAGTAATAATAATTTTCAGAACATCAGTGAAATCCATTTTTATGTTTGGAAGACATAAAACCACATATGCGTGATCAAATCATTGAAATTTAACTGGCTGAAAACTCTCACACTGACCGTCTGGCCATCCTTATTATTGAGCGATGCTTGTTTAATCTGGTCTTCTCAGCAGGGATGTTAGTTTTTTTGGTCTAAATTTAAAGTGCAAAGTAACTTAAACACGTTATTCTACGTTATTCACCATCTCATTCCCAAAATCACGGCTACCTCAGACCCGTCTAACTTTCATCTAACGAAAGTGAAGGATCTCCTGATAACTTCTTTAATACCCCACATCGACTAAAAGCACATCTTTTACCAGTCGAGGCGATTCCCAAGGCATCTTAATCGTCCACCAGTGTTATCCTCGTGGCTGTCCTATTTCCCGTCACACCGAATGTGTGAATGAAACCCAAACGGAAAGTTCCCGACTCATTAAAAACTTCCCAGCCTCTTCTGTATTTGTATCTGTGAAGGAGAGAGTCCAGACCGGCCCAGCCTGGATTGGATTGACTCGCCAAGGCTCAGACTGGGTCTCTGGAGGGCTGTAGATTAGAGCTGACCTAATTTCCCTCTCTTCCGTGACTCTCTGGGGACGGCAGTGGGAATTGCGGAGCACCCCATGGGAATGGTGAGAGAGCCTTTCATCTGCTGCAGATGTTCGGTGCGGCTCATCCACAGATGGCCCCCGAGTCTCAGTTACACGCGAACGACAGCAGACGAGCTCTCCGCAAATCTGCTTAGCAAGTTCTGCACTCAGAGAGTAGAAAGTGGCAGTCGAATCAACACAGCAGCGATCAAGGGAAGTCAGAGTTTATACAGTTTACAGCAGCATTCCCATTTTCAGTCAAACTCAGGAGCTTTTGTGATTCTTTTTTCTTTCTTTAAATAATAACAGGGTTGTTCTATCTATCTATCCATCTGTTTACCGTTGTATATGTCCGTCCGTCCGTCCATCCATCCATCATCATTCTATCCTTCCATTCATCAGTCCCATCCATCCATTGTTCTATCTATCATTCTATCTTTCGTTATATCGATCTCTTTCCGTGTCTGTTTCTGTGTCCATCCATCCACCATCCATCTGTCCGTCCGTCCATCTGTCTGTCTGTCTATCTATCGTTCTGTATGTCTGTCTGTCCATCCAATCATCATCACTATATGTCCATCCATCCATCCATCCATTTTAATTTCTCATCCTTACATTCAAATTTGAATTGCAATTAATTCTCATTTCAGTTCTGAATTCTGCACGACTGTCTCTGAGGTGAATTCCTATACTTTATTGATTGTAGACGAAATTGCTCTGGTGGTATCCCCAGTGGTAAAGACGTGACTTCATTTGTTGCCTTAAATTGCATGTGGTTGCAGAAGCGGGGCGTGTGCGCACATATTTATGTGCATTTATTTTGTTTTAATCACCACTCTCTCCCTCTTCTTTCCCAGGTCTCCTGCTGCAGTGTCCTCGGGTCCATTAAAGTCAGTGATTTACATGTTCTTGGACATATTCCCAAGCATTTTGGGGGGCTGTGAATTCTGTCCCTTCATTCGTATCTTTGTTTCCTTGCACGTCTTGCGGCTTCTCTGGTTTGCGAATAGCCCGTAATAGCATCTCTTACTGTCCATCATTGTGCTAATCAGTCCGATCTGGTTTCACATTTCAGAGCGCACACTCTCTTGAGGTTCTAGAATACAAACGCCTCCTTTCAAGCTTTCCTTCAGCAAAACCCACATGTTTGCTATCAGAAGTATTTGTGCATTCCAGATGAGTCAGTGCTTCTTGCTCCTGAGCCACTGTTTGGATGGCCTTCAGCCAAATTATGGAAATCGTAAAGCTTATGCTTCCCCTGCTTTGCATGGAAGGCTGGGAAAAACAGATTGCGGCGCTCGCAGCAGATTTATGCTAATGCCAGCCTCCTCATTCGCTGTTAATGTGCCGAGGCCAGACTCACGTCTCTATGCAATGGGGCATGTGCATCTATAACCTGCCTTCCTGCAAACGAGGATGACGCAAACCCACGCTAGCGCACTCTAGCTGAACCTGTTTCTCTCGCGGTCCCTTTGCAGAACAGATGCCAATCATGTTGGCATCCCGCTCGGCCAGATGTGTGCAAATGTGTTTTGGGCTGACACGGCACTTTAAAGTACTGTGGATGTCCTTTGCAATCGCTCTGCGGTGTTTTGAGAGATGGAGTAATGAGTAGGTGTGTGTGCGTGTGGGCTCCATCTGCAGGAGTGTGTCTGTCTTTAATATCCCTCTTGCGTGAGTATTGGGGTTGCGTTGTGCCCTTGCCTGTAAACAGCATGTTGATGTTATCTGCGCTGCATCAAGGCAATAGATGTGCAGACTTTAGGGGTTTGGCAGATGAACGTTCAGGCTGCCGGAGTGTATTCCTAGTGCACTCACGCATCCTGTGGAAAAGAGGGGGATGAAGATTTTGTTTAACGTCGCCTCTAGTTGTTCTGGTAATGTTTCACTCGGCAGACATGTTCACATATTCCCAGTGCCTGAATAAAAAGGTGACTTTTTTTCCTTTTTTGAGTGTGTAGGTAAGCAAATAAGCCATCATTTAGTAGATCATTTTATCCAAAGCACAAAATGGTAGTGCACAAGAGCACTTCAGGCAATGCAAATCTGATGTCGGTACTTTCTGAAATGCATTTCATAAAGCAATGTAAATGCATGTTTTAAGAGAATCTATAACTCTTTGGTTACAATCCCAGATCAACCACTATTCCATGTGTCTCTGTAGGTAAGCCCAGAGTGAATGATCAATTTAATTTAATGATTATACATTTAATTTAAAAAAAGAAAAAGAAAATGCAGTTTTATTTAACTTAAAGCTGCAGTCCATAACTTTTTTTGGTTGAAATGATCCAAAATCCATTTTTGGGCAAGTACATAACCAGCCAGTGTTAAAATCTACCTCTTTACCTTTACGATTCACAATGGTAAGCTTGTAATAATGTTTTCTAATTTGAGTGGCACTGGTAGGTTTTTGCGGGAAATACAAGCATGCCGCTGTTCGTCTTTGCGTCATTACGTCACGTCTGTAAACATAAAGAAGGAGTCCCGGCTTGTAGGCTATATCGCACCTGAGGATGCTGCAGGCGGATCATTAATAGCCTTTTTTCACGGCAGCTGGAATAAGAACTATTTTTCCTCAGTTGGTCAGAACAAAAGTGGCAGACTTGTTACTTGTTCAGATGATAATATCCGGTGAAAATTCTTATTTGAGTCATACCTCCAAGACGTAGATTCTGTGATTCCTAAGTACAGTATCCACACCATTGCGGTGACTGACAGTCACACATACATATCAAAACATTAGAATCATAAGCGCTGAGGAGCCATGCCGATGCACAACCCACATAAAGAAGATAATTCGCAAATAACTGCTATTGCAGGTTTCAAACAGAGATGGCGACAAAGAGGCAGAACTTACGGACTGCAGCTTTAAATATATTAACAATAAACAAATATATTTTTAAATAAATAATACATTTTTAAAGCTTTAGACTATTTAGAATATTGTGAAGATTTAAGGCCCGTTCTCAACAAGGATGATAACTATAACAATTACTATTAAGTATTAGTTATTATTCTAATTCTGTCAGAATATGGAACTCTACATCACAGTTATTATGATAAGAACATAGAATAACGATATTGTTGGAATCACTTTCAAAGTGTTTTTTTTTCCAGCAGATGAACAATAAAAAACTTTGACATTGATTTAAAGCGGCAGATGACAAAAATGCAGTGCACACTTATAATAAACAGACCGGTATTGTGTGTTGGTGTGGACACTAATATAATTATCATTATTGTCCTCTTTATAGTTATTGTTTGTGGTGTGAACACGCTGTTCAAATGGGAGTTCTCTACTATAGTTCAGTCTTTTCGAAACACAAAACTGTAATGTACAAGAGCGCTTCAAGCAATGCAAATTAAATTTCACATGTCATTACTTTCTGAAACACAGTTCAAAATGCAACACAAATGTGGGTTGCTATAGAACCTATAACCTTTCGTTTACAATCCAGATTATTAACCACTTCTCCATGTGTCTCTCTAGGTAAGCCCAGAGTGGACAGCCAGGCCCCGGTGCCTTCACGGGTCATCATTAGCGACAAACCAGCAACCGTAACAACCTCCTTCCCTCCCATCACTGTTCCTGAACCCAAACCTGCTTCTGCTATTCGGAAACCCAACACCATCTTACTGGAGGTCCAGTCAAAACCGAAGAAACGGATCCCACAGCTCCAAATACAGGCAAGAGCTTTTACATTTTTGTAGCTTTTACAAATAAAAGATTATTTTGTAAGTGTTTGGACAGAAGTAATGGCACTGTGTGATAACCAATTAGTATGATCGTTTCTTCCTTTTTAATGTGATTTTGTTTCCCAACAAGCCACGATGGTCAGTGTTTGCTTGGTATTACACTACTAAAAGTTTGGACTCAGTAAACAAGTAATACTTTTATTTAACAAAATTATGAACACGACATAAGTTTACAAAAGATTTTCCTTTCAAATAAATGCTGTTCTTTTGAACTTTCTATTCATCAAAGAATCTTGTATCACAGAACGTATCACAGTTTCCACAAAAATATTAAGCAGCGAAACTTTTTCAATATTGATAATAATAAGAAATGTTTCTTGAGCAGAAAAAGAGCATATTAGAATGATTTCTGAAGGATCATGTGACACTGAAGACTGGAGTACTGATGCTGAAAATTCAGCTTTTCTATCAAAGGAACAAATTACATTTTCAAATATATTAAAATAGAAAACAGTTTTTTTTAACTAGCAATAATTGAATGGTTTTCCATCAAATAAACATAACCTTGGTGAACATAAGAGACTTCTTTCAAAAAAAAAAAATCTCACCAACCACAGACTGTAGAATGGCAGCGTATGTTTGTTGCATCATGTGAATAGCTTCGCCCACAGTGAAATGTCATTAGTCCAAAAATCCCAAATTAGTTTTCTTCGAATATAGTTTGATTTCAGTCAGATTTTGTCACTTCACACCATATTTCGCTTTCTTCTGGAACATAAAATAAGACTTTGCAAACTTGCATCACACATTGAAAAATATCACTTTCCTACTGCAATCTGAATGGCATTTGTTCCATATGCTGTTTTTATTCAAATGGATTTGTGTTTTGTTTGCAGGTCCAGCCTGGTGTGAACATTGAGAGTGGTCTTTGCAGCCGGCCAGCTTCCTCTACGCCGTTGATTCCAGCCGAAACCATCCTTCCTTCACCTTCAACCCATGTAAGACCCAAATCACAAAGAACACTAAGTAGACCCTTATTATTTGAAAATGAAAAGGTTTCATTGGCCTTAGTAGCACTTCTCCATATTTCAGTCTCAGTTTTGTACCAAAGCAGTTTCTAATATGTCTGCAGGCTTTCAGATTTATCATACACCCAAAACATAAGTCATGTACATTTGCTTGTGTGTGTGTGTGTGTGTGTGTGTGTGTTCATACACCAGCTGGTCTTGGCTCCATTCTGAGAATGGATGGATATTATGCCATTAGATTTTGGCTGTGCTCCAGCATGCTGTACTGCTATAAGGGTCGGTTTTGTTCCAGGTTTGCATTTCTCATCGCACTGCCATTGATTTTTGCCAAGCCGTGCATGCTTGTGCACTCGTGCTCTCAGAACCTGCCCGAGCGGATGAAGATGGATGAGGTGTGTGCGTTTGCGTGTGTGTATGGAGCTGAATGTATAATGTTTCAGGGGGGACTTTGCCGCCAGCGTTTTCTGCTCTTACTCCTCCAATCCCGACCTCAGCCATTCACATCTGGTTGCTAAGCAACAGATCCAGCTCCGTTGCTTTTCTGTGGGTTCGTTAGCAGATTCTGAGCAAGCGTCTGGGAGGACAAAGCCTCTCTGTGGTCTGCCTGCCGCTGTTAGCTTTAGAGTAATCATTACAGCTCTCTGGAAATAAGCGTAGATACGCATCTTCATGCTAGAATCTGTGGAGTTCATTTGTGGATGCGCTTCCTCTTTTAATTGTGCATTGAGGTTGAGTTCGCAATCTATCACATTCTCAGAAAATGTAAGGAACACTTTAAAGCTTTTGACTGTTTAGAATATTATGAAGATGCCTCCTGTATAATAGTGTATTCTGCTATAGTTCAATATTAATTATCAAAAATATATTCAGTTTAAAATATAAATTAACACATTTTAAAATATATTTTTATTTAAAGTACATTTTTATATAAGTAAATAAATATATTTTTTTATAAAATAATTTTTTTTTTAAATATACACATTTTTAAACTTTAAACAAAATTTAAGATTATTTAGAATATTGTAAAAATGTAAAGTGTCACGTTTAACAGAGTTCTCTACGATATTTCAATACTTAATTTTGTTCTATAATATATATATATATATGTATGTATATATATATATATATATATTAAAATTTTGAATGAATCTTCATATAAGTAAAAAGTAGATTTTAAAAAATAAATAATGCATTTTTTACTGTATTAGACTATTTAGAATATTGTAATAATTTAAAGAATTTGATTTAACAGTTTTCTACTATAGTAATATATTATCTAAATATTTACTAATACTTAATGTAATTTAAAAATAGATATATATTTTTGAAAAAAAATGTAAATGAAAATTTAATTTATGTAAAATACTTTTATAAAAGTATATAATATATTATTATATTAATAAATACATTTTAAATATATATTATAAAATAAATTTTAAAAATATTTTATAAAAAATATTTTTAAATAAATTTTACTGAGGTAGAATAGTAAAGTGAGTTTTAAGAATCATCATCATCATTATTATTATTATTATTAATAATAATAATAAAGATTAGCATTAAAATATTAAATACAGATAGCTTACAAACAGGTGCAAATGCATATGTCTTCCTCTCAGATTCTGTACCTGATGCAGCTCGGCAGAGGTTTTTTGGTCTGCCAGCTCAGCATGCACTCTGTCTGTGCCCAGTTAATGCCCATGACTCATCTGACTGGCAGACCCCAGATTCTACACACACACACACACACACACACACACACACACAAAGACACAGGCAAGGACAGACCCACAAACCCAAAGATCCTACGACACGCTTTGAATCATACACTTCAGTCCCACCAGGCCTGAGGCCTGTCAAACAGAGGGAATGAAATATGACTAAGAAGTCTCACAGTGCTTGCACTTAAAACATATGATATCTCTGTCCTCTGAGACTTGACTTTTCCAGTGCATTGCGGTCACCACTGGCTCATACTAGTACAAAACCCAGTGTTGTTCTTTGAGAAAATATTGTTATAGATTGATTTTTGTAGACCTTACAGACGAAAAGGAATAATTCACCAAAAAAATGAGAAATCTGTCTGCATTTACTCACCCTCATGTCCTTCCAAACCTATAGGACTTTGTTTCATCTGTGGGACACAAAATGCGAATAAGGACAGGGACTGTCAAGGACCCAAAAGGCACCATGAAATTATCATAAAAGTGGATTCATGAACAATACAGTATTCCAATCTCTGTGAAGTCATATGATAAGATCAGTCCATATCTATACGATTCACAAATGAATCAGACCAGTTTTGTGAACTGATTCCTTTTGTCTTGAATCCTTCCTTTTATGTTCCACAGTAGAATGAAAGTCATCCAGGTTTGGAACAACATGAGGGTGAGTAAATGATGACCGAAAGACTATACAAAGGAACTTTTCCTATCATTTGCAATTCAGTTGCAAAACAACCAATTGCTCTTTTCATATCCCGCTCTTTTCAGTGTTTGAACGTGCAAGTGTGTGATTGTGCAAATGTGTGAGCAGAATAGTAAGTAATATTGTGTTTCTGTAGCTCACTGCAGCACATTTGCTGCAGTCTCGTTTGTTTCTGCAGCTCTGATGCAGCTCCGATCCACACACACACACACACACACACACACAACATGTAATTCTTGTAAGGGGTAATGTCGCAAAAAAAAAAAAAACGACAGCTATCCCAAAATAAACCAGAACTGAGTTACCAGGAAAGGAGAGATGTCTTCTATCCTCCTGAAGGGGTTTATTTTGTGATAATGACTGACTTGACTGTACATTATCCCACCTGTTACACAGCTACTTACCAAACAAATGGATATGAAATATTGATTTAAGTCTAAATTATTTTATTACCTGTCCTGAGCAGAAAGAGACTAAGCACAGCTACATTTCTAAGTTAGGGGTCATTAAGAGTTTTTTGGTTTCTGAGAGAAGTTTCTTATGATCACCAAGGCTATATTTATTTGATCAACAATATAATAAAAACAGTAATATTGTGAAATATTATTACAGTTTTTTTTATTTTTTTATATCTTTAAATATAGTTTATTCCTTGGATGCAAAGCTGAATTTTCAGCATCTTTATTCCAGTCTTCAGTGTCACATGATTCTTCAGAAATCATCCTAATATGATGATTTGCTGCTCAAGAAACATTTCTTATTATTATCAATGTTGAAAACAGTTGTGCTGCTGAATGTTTTTGTGGAATACGTGATACATTTTTTTCTCCCAGAATTCTGCGATTATTAAAAAGTTCAAAAGTACAGTATTTGTTCGAAATATATATTTGTTCTGTAACACAGTAAAATTGTTTACTGTCACTTTTGATGCGTCCTTGGTGAATACAAGTAGTAATTTCTTAAAAAAAATTATTTGACCCTATACTTTTGAACGTCAGTATAAGACGACAGTCAGGTATAAATTTCAGCTTTCATTAATATACAGATATTTGACTGCAGAATGCTGTGATTGACCGTTCACAAGCAAGTATCTCAGAAAGCCATGCAATAATTGGATGCAACATCTATTTCTTCATTCACTATCCAGGATAAAACACAATAAATAATTCAACTCTATAAATGATATTGGTGACAAAAGAGCTTTAAAATCTTTTTCTTAGTGCAGTAGACATGGTGTATAACGCTGTCTATCTCTCGTACTCTCATTCACATGAGCAGACCAGCTCTCTCCGTTACCATGGAGACATGGCTTAGCTGCTCGAGACAAAGACCTGGAAAACTGATGCGTGATTTTCTCTCTCTCTCGCTCTCTCTCTCTCTCTCTCTCTCTCTCTCACATACACACACACACACACACACCTCTTAAACAGTTAGTTTGTGTTCTTGCACTGAATGAGTCATTGAATCTTTGTAAGGACACCCTTGAATCTCTCTTGTAAGATCAGAGGATAAGACATTGGTTGATGAGACAGCGTTTTATTGTGTGTGTGTGTGATCAGCATCACGTCTACGACCACTGCCATTTGAAGATTCCTTTAAGCTATTCAGTACATGGTGTTTTTTTAAACAATAGTTAATATTCTGTCAACATTTTCTTACCCTCATGTCAATCCAAACCTGTATGACTCTCTTTCTTCAGTGGAGCACAAAAGAAGATGTTTTGAAGAATGTTCATGCTCCTCTTTTCCATTCAAATGAAAGAAAGCCTGCGAAGATCATGGGCTGTAAAGCTCCAAAAGAACACCATACTGGCATCATAAAAGTAATCCTTATGACTTGTGCACTATATTTTGAGTCTTCAGAGGTCACAGACTGTAATTCTTCCGTCATTCTTCAAAATGTCTCATGGAATGACATGAAAACATAGCAGCATTTTCATTTTTGATTGAGCTATATTTCCATTTTTATCGCAACTTTAAAGGAAATGAATGACAGATCTTTTCTTAAGCATTGTGACATACAACTGAGTGAAACGGATTCTTTAAAAATGTAGATTATATTTTGATGTGAACATTGCACTCAAAAATAGAGGTTCTTAGCCGACTAAATACTTTGGTGAAGTATGCTGGACTTCTCCCAAATCAAGGTGTTATTTCACCGGTCGACATTTTGATTAAACATTGCAATCTATTACATGCTTTCAGAAAGCAGATATGGTGAATTTCCATTTCATGACGACTTTAAATCCACGCTACCCTACTTTATGGTCAAGTATCATCTTTTGTTTCACCCTGTCATCATTATCCTTATTAACTCATGCACTTACAACTTTCTAATCTCCCCAGCCGTTGATGAATTTTGTCATTTCTAGACACCGTATTGCTTCCTGACCTCTATCTGCGTATCATTGCCTCCTAGGCCGCCGAGGAACCGCATGCTGGTGAAGATCAGGAGGAAAATATCTTTCCCGGAACCAATTTCTTGTCTGTAACCGACATCAGCCAGGTACATTCAATTAAAAGCACATTTCAACCCACACACTCACTCCAGCTCGTAACATAAAGGTCATTTCACAACCTGGTGTCCACCCTGAGGGTATCAGCCCCGATCCACTGTTTCCTACTTCATTCTAGAGCCCTACACGGGCCTCAAATATAGGCCCGAGACGCTTAGGCCCTTGTCCGACAGCTTATCAGAATTACTGGCCCGAGCCCGTCTTTTTTTCCCCCTTCTCCCAAAACAGCTTCCTGTTTCCGCTATTAAAATAGTTCAGTTTTGTATGTAATGTCAAAGTGATTATATTTCGTTTTCGTTTTTTTTTTTAAATTAAGTTAATTTAGAAAAAACGTTTGGAGCATTTTTTTGTTTGTTAAATGTAAGTTTTAGTTTTTTACAATAATGACCAAGTGGCCAGCGGCAGACAGTGAGTTGATCATAGCCTATGTTTGATCAATTTAGCCTTCTCAAATCATCACGACTTGCCTAAAATAAAATCTATGGATATAAAACAGTTCAAGCATATCACAATGCAAGTTTAAATGTTTAACCTATATAAATGTGCGCTATTAGACACATATCTAATCATTTGTGCGGAGAGCTAAAGTGCTTTCAGGACATGGAGGCGCCGGCGCGATCACTTGCATTGGAAACAACTTAAAATATGCCGTAAATTTTGCTCATAAAGGTAAGAGTAATATATATAACAAAACGTTGTGCTTTTATAAAATAAAGGATACAGGATGCGCTTTCTGCAATTTCGGCCAGGAGCGCTTCACAATGATGAACTGAAACTCAGCGAATACTTGCCTCATAGACTTGCTAAATATATCTATAGAAAGCTTTAAAGTCAGGATCATCTTTGCAACACAGTCTCAGAAAACACTCATTTATTAATAAATAATTCTAATATCTCCTTACTATTTCCCCCTGACACATTCATGGTAATTACTTTTGCTGCGACATGCTTTAGCCTATTGCGTGCGTTTTTTGCTGTCATGTGCAAAGATATGTTTAGATTCTACACTGCACATGACCAATTGACTCACTGTTTGCCGTGGTTATCAAATCAAAACTCTTCCAAAATGCAGCGTTTCCCGAAGCACTGGGAACTAGTAACTCCCCACGCTCCAACTTCTCCCTGATGCTCTGCATGGTCAACTGTCACCTGTATGCTAATTCATGCGTATATGCGTTGTGTATTGCGTAGGCGATGTATAATATTTATAATATAATCAATAAAACAATATTTCATACAGTAGTGCGCTCTGCGCGTATATGGGCACAATAAAAGGAGTGAAGCTAAATGAGCCCGAGTCCGACCCGAGCCTGATCTGTAAAAAAAAAAATGGCCCGAGCCCGGCCCGAATGGACTCAGTGTGTCGGGGCCCGACGGGCTTGCAGACCTCTACATGATAGTGCTTTTTCCTTAGTATTCATTTCAAATGTGCATTAACCGACTTCATTTAACTTGTATTATATATAATTGCGCCTCTTCATCTCACTTTAACATTATAAAGTTTGTGATTGGTCACTGGGCCTCGAATAAATGAGCAATTAGCTTTGGGTTTTGGCCCAGAAGGAGGTTTTACTTCTGCACTCATTTTTTTGGATGGAAAATCGGTGGAATTCTCTAGAGTCGTTTTAAATATGGTATAATGTGTTAAACTGGGCTGAAAATAAATCATCAAATTAGCCAAATTAATAATAAACGCACCCGCAAGGGGTGGGGGATAGTGTGGACATATAAATTACTTATCATTGGAAACATTAGCTTTAGCAACAACGTTTAGTTAGGAAGCAGTTTCGTTTGTTGTTGTAAGACACATGTTGTATTGGACCTAATAATGAAAATACAAGGAAAATCACGATGGGCTTCAATGTTTATATAGTTGAGCTCCATCGAGAGACACAATGACATGCTGTTTGTTGCGAATGTACATTGGAAAACAGCTAAATAATTCTGTTGTCATAGGAACAACAATATATATTTATATTTTAAGGAAATAAAGCAGAATGCATATTCATGGCCAGGAAAAGTGCTTATTAACGGTACATTTTCTCAATTCATCTGCCATTGGCATGTGTAGCTAAATGATAATTTTGTGCCATGTGTGGGCCTGTGGGTATACGTTTGAGTGAGCATCCATATAGGACAGATGTTTGCGTGGGCTAGCGTGTATCCTGCAGAATAGACGGTGTAGGTGTTTGCTTGTATTCAGTGTGGGATATGTGTGTGTGAATCTCAGCTCTCCGTGTGTGATGGATCTGTGTGTGTATTGCCGAGTGTGCAGTAGAGAGATTAGCATAGTGCTCGTCTCAGCGCACTCCTCTGCTCAAAGTGGATAATAGTTTGGGGAAATGCCTTTTGTTGTTTTTTTCCCCTTGCGTACTCTTCTCGTCTTTCGAGGCAGTGGTGTTGAGTAAGCCTCTGTGTGTAAATAGGCCCATATGTGCCTGCTGGCGCTGAATGCCAGGTAACCCTCTGTGCCAACTTAAACGTCCACACACACATACTAGGATAGAGTCACATCAAACAAGACCAAGGAAAGACCTGAGGGAATTTAACATGTTCATTTAGTCTTTATTTATGAAAAAAAAATTTAAAAAGTTAATTAATTTAACTTAATTATTTTTTTTACATTTATATTTTACATGTATATGTGTAAAACATGCACATTTTTTGCAAAAAAAATTAACAAATAAAAAATAAATCAATAATATTTATTTAGTTATTTATTTATTACTTATTTAAGCATGTTTTTACATGTCCACAGTAAGTCTAGTTACAAATTTGGGGCAATTGATCTTTATTTTTTCAGTAATTATTTATGTAATTTAAAAATCCTCAGTATTTTACAAAAAAAACTTGCCCCTTATAATTTACATTTATATGTAAGTTTTTTTAAATTATTTATTAAGCATATTTTACAAATCTGCAGTAAGTTAAATTAACTTCATTTGCTTTTCTAGCAATTATTAATTTGTTGCAAATTATTTAATAAATTAATTCACCTATAAATTAACTTATATTTTTTTAATTATTTGACAATAGCAGATAATTGCATATTTAGTATTTTCAAACATGACCATATAATATATATATATATATATATATAATTTTTTTTAGATTTGACCAGGCTTTCTGTAAATGTACAATGGTAATACATGTTTTTTGGGCACGTACCACAGAATACCAAGATATTCTTTTTTTTTTAATACTGTGTAAATAGCATTGTACTGTATGTCAATATGGTAATGATTAGGTATCATGGTATATATCAGAGTACCATGCGGTTTATTTTCTCTCTCCCTATAAGGATAGGAAAACCAGCACACGTTCCAGTTTTCAGGAGCAGAATGGACTTTGGATTTATGAATGTCTATGTGTTTGTGCAAACGCGAGTATGTTTATTTCTCATTGCATTTTTCGGTGTAGATTTGCATTTGTCTGAAATGAATTTTCCGCATTTAACATTAGATGGGCACACGACCAGGACTCTGCTGCCGGAGTATCACACCATCTTGAGCTACACACTCAGAAACACACACATTAAGAGCTCTACCTGGACCTGGCACATATCTGTAGGCATTTTTTGCAACTGCTAAGTTCCACTCCAGACGTGCCCATGTAATTACCTCCTCAGAAACAGGTGTGTGTGTGTGTGTGTGAGTGAGTTTGATTACTTGCTCAGGTTGAAACAGGAAAATTAATTCCTGGCGCTACTGTTACACCAATTCAGCATTGTGGAAAGGGCCTTTCAGAGACTATTTATATGTGCTTTGCGTGTGTGTGTTCCCTCATTCTCAGCGTATGTGGACATGTAGGCAGTGGAGATTGCTGTAGGACTACATAGGAAGCACAGCTTCACATTTTAATAAACAATGATTAGGCCTATGTGGATCCATTACAGTATAATCTATATGTATCATATTACTTATGTGCATTTCCATATTTTATCGAATGAAAGTGTGAAATAGGCCTGTCACGTTTATGAACGTTATTGAAAATTGGGCTTTCAATCAATGTATTTTTGCCACAGATTCTTTTTATGATGATTGGCTGAGCCCTAAAATGGGCGGGACTTTGCAACAATGGCCAATAACTAATACAGTGATGTACAAGATTGACACATGACTGGCTGTTCATTGAATTTTTATTTAATTTAACTTTTATAATCTTTTTTTGGTTGTAAGCATTTGTAAATATTGTAAATTGGTGGTTGATGTGAAATTTGAATTTTTTTTTAAAACAGCATTTTGCATTTTTAAAAAAAATAGGTATATATGTAGATTTTATATAATACAGCTACTTTTGAATACTTATATATATATATTAAACATATATTTTGAATATATATATATAAATTATGTATAACAAAATAAAAAAAGAAACTATTTAGACACTTTTTTTTTACTTGAAGTTCAGTTGCTTCCTTGACGTTTTAAGTATAATCAACTTCGTTGTATGAATTAAAAAAAAATAAGTTAAAGTTGAATTTCATATAAATTATAAAGCAAAAAGTTGAAATTGCTCAACTTATTTTTTGAGTTATTGACATGACTTACTGATCACATCATTTTTTACAGTGTACTTGATGGATGGGAAGCTTAGCTGCTTTAGAAGTGACGTTGCAGTCTAAAATAATAAGTACACTTTTTGAGATTGATTACTGACATATGTATGTGCTTCCCCATATAGATGAAGAGCAGTTTTATAAGCAGCTGCTGCCTGTCCAAACAAACCAGCATCCTGAGAGCATAATGCAGTGTGATCAGTCCGCTGATATGAACCTGTGTGTGTGTGTGTATGTGTGTGCTGTTTTCCTCCTTGGCATCAAAGAGAGAGCATTGATTTCCCATCATGCATTATTCACAAAAATGCAAATCAGCTAAAACCAAAAAGAACCACCCCAAAGCTTTTTTAAAAATTAAATATGCAAGAATCCCTAGGCGGAATTACCATGGAAACCACGATTACGTCACAA